GGGCGAAATTGCTCCCTGCTGCCAGTCAGGTTCCTTTTTCCCCTCCCGGGGCTTGGGGGGAGGTCATCCCCCTGGATCTACCCTTCCCTTCTTCCAAGGAAGCCACCTTTAGACTGTTCTTCTCTCCCTGAACAGAAACCAGTACTTGCTTCACTTCACTCTCCAACTTCTCTTCAGCCTTTCTCTCCAGCTTCTTCTCCAGCTTCTCTGTTCACTCCTGCTACATACTTTTACTCTCCTCTCCTCTCCTCTCCTCTCCTCTCCTCTCCAATTTTTGGTTAGACGGTAGCATGTCCTTCAGCAACTGAGGAGATAGGTGTCCCCCCAGGGCTCTAGTCCCCAACTTCGTTGGACCATGGTATAGGTATAAACTTTGTTGCACCATGAGCCAGGTCAGCTCATCAGGCCTTGTGCTAGTGCAGCTGTCCTTTGAGGCCAAAGAGAGCTACTTTTTCTCCTTTTTCTTCACTCCAAAAACTGGCTCATGCCAGCAGAACAGCAGCCATGCCTGGCCACAAAATTCATATGCCACAAGGCTACATCAATATGTTTTGCAGATGGTGTCTCTTCCCCGCCTCCTGCCAAGATACATCATACTTGATACTGTCCTTTGATAATAATTTTTGTTGGATCTTCTCACTCTCCCACATTGTCTAACTAATGTAACAATGGCATCTTGTCTGAAAAAAAATACGTTCAGACTAAAAAGTATAATTTATAATATTTGTCATAAACACAGATGCTTTGGTGTGAATATTTCTCCTGAAACATAAACTCCAACAAGCCTCCCAAAAACACTATAACACCCTTCAGGTCAATTTTATACAGTACAAGGCTTAGAGATCATTGTGGACATGTTCTGGCTTCTTGTATTTTTCCCATACCATAAATAATCAGGTTTCAAAAACTCCAAACAGAAAAAAAAATGCAAAGTTATCAGTGAAGATGCTCCAGGATGCTATTGATGGACCCAATTTTTGAATTCCACCCCCCCCCCCCGCCAATAGGTGCATCTGGCCCCTTTGTTTGGCATTACTTTTAGCTTGAAATAGTAAAATAATAATCTTAAGGTTGTTATTGGTTATAACTATAATACATAAAAATATACATCATGGATACACCAATTCTTTGACCGAGGCTTGGGCTATGGAGTCCTTGAGGTTCTCAAGCTCAGAGAACCTCAAGGACTCCATAGTTCAACCCTGAGCTACATATATTCTTTTTTATTGGCTTGGGCCATGGAATGGCTAAGGAAAAAATACTATAACAAGTAAACTTAACTAAGATTATATTGGTGGGACAAGTAAATAGCAGTGATATAGTTCATGTGTGGTTTTCAAGCATCAGAAACATTGAGAGACTAGAAGACTCTCTAATGAGAGAGACTACTATGCAAATCTGAAGGTTCTATTACTTACATTTTAATCGTCACTGATGCAAAAAGAACAGGATGCCATGCAAAAGCTGTTTACGATGCATTCAGATATAAATCACCAATACAATATCACATGTAGCAGGGCCTATTAAGAGGTTTGGGTATCCCCTAATATAAAACTAATATTAGTATTAAATATCAATATTTAGGGCTAAATATCAATATCTTAATATTACCTCAGCAGTTACACTCAAAAGATATGTGCCAAGGACTGCAGATAAAAGTGGAACATTTGGTTTGAAACCATACGACCTGGAAAAATACACAAGGTCATGTGGAACTTGCAATCTCCATCACCACCACCACCACCACCACCCATTTCACCCCCACCCCTGGTACATTTACTTACTTCATAGTCTTTGCCATTTATGAAAATGCAAGACTGCAGTCTAATGCTCTGTGAACAGAGTTCAGTCAAGTTGAAGTGAACAGAGAGTTCAGTCAAGTTGAAGTGAGCAAGAGTTCAGTTGAGCAAATTTACTTAAGATTGGGCTACTTATATAAGATTTTTTTGTGTAAACAATAACATAGCAATGGAAAGAAATCTCACCACATGGAAGATCCACTGAAATAAATGAGACTTCATTGAATTAATTCATTTAATTTAAACCCCATTAATTTCAATATGTCTGTTCTAAGCAAAGTAAGTCTGCATTTACATAATAATAAAGACCTGCTGGAGATTACACAGTAAATCAACGAATGCACAAATGCTGTCAAGGTATACACACTTCCTGTAGTCTGTTGGAAAGAATGTATGTGGACCAGAAATGCACATTTTTTTCTTGATATACACAGATTATGTATATATTCTTCATAAATTGTGGTTTATGTTCACAATGACCTGTTATTTCACTGTGCACAAATCCTTCATGATATGTTTGACAATTCAAGAGTGAGAACATTTTGGCTGGCATTTACAATCTTTTGATTAATGTTTATTCCTCTTTTAATATGGTTTTATGAGAATCATGGCTAATCAAGGAAAGTAGTACTAGAGTAAAGAGAACAAACATAATTCCAAAAGAAAATGATAAAGATGTAGCTTCTAAGGCACAGAATTGTACCCCAGTCGTAAACAGCATGGCATCTACAATTTGTTGAGGATTCCAGTAATGTTATTTGAAAAGAATAGTTTTCTATATTGTGATAAGCAGCCAGCTGCTTAGTCCTACCTATAAGATCACAATCTACTATGAAACAGAATGCATAGCAATGTAATCACTACAGCAATAGATATGCATCGGAGACCTTGATAAGATTTGAATATATTTACAGAGAGCAAAATGAAATGGTTACTAGAGATTAGACTTTCTTTGTTGAATTATGATAACCTGTTATTCCAGTGAAGGTAGGTACTTCTCCAGTAGCTATAAAATAGCAACATGATGTAGAACAGGCCCCAGCACAACTGGAGCATCCTCAGTGGAAGGAGCAACATGAAGTGCTTAGCAATTCTCTTCGCTCTTGTGGCTCTTTCTGAATGTCTTGTTCAGTGAGTCCTCGTTTTATTACTAATATTTTCATCACTGACAGTTGCAATTGTTTGCTTGTTTATATGATTTATTCTTGACCTTTCTACTATGGCAATACAAGGAAATGAAACTATGGATAGTGTATTCAGATTTAAAATTACATTTTTATTTGATATCACATAAAGAGGGAACAGATCGAGCCACTATTAGAGGCATTGCTATACTCTTTTAAGCATTGGTTTCACTAAGATGTAAAAGTCATCTTAAATATTACCTGAGTCAGATATTACATATCTAGAAACTAGTTAAAAATGTCAACTAATGCTTTTAAAGTTTAGAGGTGGAATAAATTAACTTGCAGTACTTTCTTTATCCAGTCCTATCATCCATTACAACTGTGCAAACCCTTGGGATGTATGGTTTATTATGTTCATGATTGTGGGCTCTATTAATATTTTTGGTGATGAAGGAGCATCAATCAAGTTAAGTGCCCATGATATTTTATTTAAATCCATAAATGTTTTCATTTAATTTATAGGTAGGATAGATGACAAGGTGAAACATTCTAACATAAAGCAATACATGTATCAGAGAGGAACAACACAGAATCTAATCAATTAATTCTTGTATACCAGGGTTCCCCTGAGGAAAGGAGAGAAACTTAGAGATATTCTCAGGAAGAAAAATTTGCTGGGAAGCCTTCTTCGAGATCATCATTATGACATTAATACTAAGTATACCAAACATTCTTCATTTGTTTTCAATCCTGCTCAGCTGGCTGATGAACCACTGATGAACTTCTTAGATGTAAGTTGGTGATTTTCTCTTCTTGTTTTGATTTGTTTCTAGGAAAAAAATCCAGTTATTCTGATATTTCTGTTGCTATCCCTGTGCTCCTTTGGATCATGACCCAGCTAAAGTGAAGCACTTTTAAGTTCCATGCTTAACTCTGACTCAGAATTAATAGAGGTTAAAATACACTAACTTCTCTATAGATCTTGCTTGAAGCTTGTAGCATGTGCCCACTGAGAGAAAGCAAGCATATTTTTCCAAGAATAATGCCTTGAGATACTGAGAAATACACTTGTTCTAGGCTTCATTTCAGCCCGTGTCTAGATATTATGTTTTGATTTGGAAAAACTTTTCCCCACATATACTTTATTAATTTCCTGTGATAAAAACTGTATTTGAACAAAAAAGATTTTTTTTATCATTATAAATGTCTAAAGTGCAAGTGAAATAATGCCAGCTCAGTAATTCTTATTTATGCAGCTAAAATGGCGACATACACACAGCGTTTACATTCTGTTTATTCATTTTTTTCTCCATTTGTGTGATTCCTTTTTTTATTACTCCTTTCTATGGGAGATGTTTTTCCTCTTGTTTTATTTCATAACAATTAGGTTTATGGTGTTTATCACATGCATCAATAGTAAAACATTGAAAAAGGGATAATGTTAAGTCTTGCAATGTATATTTGTTATTTACAAATTAACAGACAGAGTATTTTGGAACAATCTACATTGGAACACCACCACAGAAATTCACTGTTGTATTTGACACTGGATCATCAAATCTCTGGGTACCTTCTATTTTCTGCAACAGTTCAGCATGTGGTAAGTAATTGTATTCATCCAAGTAGATCAAGTGGATTCATAGATGTACTAAATTATATTATCTTTATTGGATAGCAGTGATAACAATAAAAAATACAGGTTCATTGTATCACAGCTAGAAAATCCTGCCAGATGAAAAAAACGATTGAAGCCATTACTCTATTTAATGAAGAACTTCTCTAGACGGGGGTGCCAATCTGACAATGGCATGAGATGCCCTGCTTCCTGAAATCTCGCTAAGCTGTCCCGAAGGCACGCAATTGTAGCAGAATGCACAGCTAGCCCTGGCTTTCTGAAAAATGAGGAAAAGTCATTTTGCAGCAGTAAAGGTCACTGCAGAGGGAAAAGCATTTTGCTGCCTTGTATACACAGGGCAGCCTGTGTTTTAGTGGAGAGGACATCTTGCCTGGCTCCCTCTCCTACTTTCACTGGTCTTTAGCAATATGCTGGCTTGAAAAGCAGACCAAACGATAAAGGAACAAAACAGGGTCTGTTATTATGCTACTGTGGTGAGCCCAAGAGTAGAAATATGCCTATTTTATTTTATTTTTTTAAGATTGGTGGAAGGGTACAGGCTTAGGCATGAACGGGCAAGATAAACCAGTTGATTTCTGGTCAACAACTAAGCACTGATTACTTTGCCTTTCTCCGTGCAAGGCTACTCTCCACAAAGGGCAAGTACTGATTGGCTGGGCCTTCACAACTTGTAAATGTTCCACATCCACATCGTGTATTCTTCCAAGGTTCAAAAGGATTTAGAATGGTAGAGGACAACATCACGTGAACTTTAAATTAGAATCAGAAGGGTTTGGCAGTGGGAATGCTTAGGGACAAGGCCCATTGAGTGCAATGGATCTTGGCTTCCAACAATAAGCATGTATAGAATTTGGGTAACAGACTGCAATTTTCTAAGGAATATGTTCCATTGAATATTATGGGCCTTGGTTCTGAGAAGACATTTATATGACTGCTCATGTAAATCTTAGTTTGTAAAAGCACAGGGTAATTTTCAGCAAAAGGTTTCAAGGTGGCCATGTTAAAATCAGTTTGTTTCTTTGAAGACTGACACAAATAGTAACAGATCACATTTTCCAGAAATAAAATTATTGTTATATTAAGTGATATTCCTCTAGTAAATTAAGTATATCCACTGTTTTTATTAAACCATTTCCTTTTAATAGGCTAATAATAACTAGTATTTTTCAAACATTCTGCACTGTAAACTGTTGCAATATTTTTCTTCAGGGAGAAATGTTATACTATACTGAGCCTGATATCCACCATTGATTAAAAGCTGTTTTAATGTTAATTAATGGCTGGTATTCTATTTTGTTTTTTACTTCTAGAAAAACATCAGCGGTTTAACCCAAGCCTTTCTTCTACTTATGTGAGCACAGATCAGACCATGTCCATTCAGTATGGAACAGGATCGATGGAAGGCATGTTAGGATATGACACAGTGAAGGTAAAGCCGTGCATACGGGTACCGAAAAGATGAGCATTTCCAGCTAGCAAATGGCTAGTAAAGGGCATTTCCAACAACTTTGTGGTTCACAGCAATTTGGGGAGTTAAGAAAGGATATTCCTCATTAAATCCCCTTTCTCTGGGGTTCTAATACTGTGGTGTCACAGCGTGATGGGGTTCTTTTTCAACTGGTGGTGTACTTTGTTCTGTAAGGGCGGTAATTGACACAGAAAAACAGGGCAGTTGAGGCTTTTATGCTTTTTTGCTATTTACAACAAGCATTTACAACACAATTGTGGTGTTCACCAGGTTTCCTCCTAAGTCTCCCTCCCAGAGAGTATATCTCCTTCTAGCTGTTCTACCAACTGCTTTGTTTTCCTCCCACTTTCACTCCAACTCCCTCCCCATTTCTGGGCTTGACAAGAGAGAGACAGAGTAGTAAGAAAGGAACTGGCTGGAAATTTGCTGTGGTGTGTTCAGCACGGCTTGACTTTCTCCTGGATCTGCTCAGCTGAACACATACTGCTTCTCCACTGGGGAAGAACCTCTCTAAGGGTCTTCTGCCTAGTCCTTCCCCAGAGGCCAGGACTTCATCACTGAGGGCCAATCCCCTTCTTCCTGTCTTGGGTCTTGGGTGGAGCTCTCATCCCTCTGGGTCTTCACTTCCCTTCTTCCAGGAAAGCCACCCTTGGAGCTTTCTTCTCCCTCCTCGACCAGGTTCCTGACCAGGAACTTTCTGTCTCCAACTTTTCTCTCCAGCCACTCCACTCACTCCATGCACAGACTTTTTCTCTCCTCTCTCTCTCTCCAATTTTTGGTTAGACTGGCAGTATGTCCCCCTGCAGCTGAGGAGGTGGGTGTCCCCCCAGGGCTCTAGTCCCCAACACCTATATGCCAGGCTGGGCCAATGGGACTGCTGTCTCAACATCTCCTGGCCAGGTCAGGTCATCAGCCCTTGTGACAGCCCAGCTGCCCTTCAAGGCCAGAACCGAGCTGCTTTTCCCCTTTTACTCACTCCATATGCTGGCTCATGCCAGCAGAACCGCAGCCATATCAGTCCACTAAAACCATATGTCACACGCTGAACCTGAGATTTCACTGTCATTTCCAGCTGCAAACCTAACAAAAGTTTCTTCCAACTTTCTGGTTCCCAGGGCCATCCATAGGGGGTGGGGTGGGGGCCAAAGAAATCACGATGGCAGCCACAACCATGTGATCAAAGCTCCTGCCCTTTTTAAAATGTGCTGAGGTGGGTTTTTTAAACGGGGTGGGGTTTCAAATTCATGGTTGTGGGCACCATCTCGATTTTATCCCACCCCCATCAATACCCTGGTAGCAAGGTCAAATCTTATGTTCATTTCTGCAGAGGATGGAGAAATGACAGAGATGACCTGCAGAGAGCAGCAGCAACACCTTCACCTTAGAGCCTGAGAGTGTGATGAAATAGAATTTATGCTGGTTTAGGGCAAATTTACCCTCTTGAGTCATTTGAATTAATTAGTAAAAGGGCCTGGCTGACTCAGTTATTGTCCTGAAGCTATGATATTTATTATTTTACTTGTGTTCTGAAGAATATGAGCATAGGCTTATGAAGGTGACCATCATTCATGATACCAATAATAAAAGTCTGCTGGGTGATGAACTTTGATAGACACCAGCTTAATAAATAAAGGAATGCTTTGTTTCTCTTCTAGGTGTCCAGCTATATTGATACCCATCAACCATTTGGCATAAGCACCGAAGAGCCAGGAAACATTTTTACCTACTCAGAGTTTGATGGGATTCTGGGCTTAGCCTATCCTTCTATTGCCGTTGACCAAGCAACTCCTGTCTTTGATAATATGATGAATGAAGGTTTAGTGCAACGAGACTTGTTTTCTGTTTATCTCAGCCGGTAAATAATATTTTGATCTACCAGTAAGATTACTTGTTGTTAGTGGTTGAAGGAAAATGCACCAGGGAATAGATTCCTTTGGCAGCCCAGTCTTGTCACCTGAGTAAGACAGCTGTTGTTCTACTGAGCTTGCATTTGGGCAAAGGCCAAGCTTCTCATGGCAAGTTCTCATGATTCTGCATTAGGGTTAAAGTAGCGTGGGATCTCTCTGATTCCACAATGGCAGCAATGGTAGAGAACTGAGCCAATGTATTTCTGGGTCAGCTGTGGTTTTGTTAAAATTAATGTTTTCTTTTGCAACTCTTTGAAATTCTGGAACTCCATAGAGTTTATGAACAGGCTGTTTCCTTATTGGGAAGATCTTCTGCCACACCCTGGCTCCTGGACTTGAGCTGCTCTGGCTGGTCCTTCACAGAGAATGGTGGCTTGATGGCTTTGCAGTTCATCCACTCAAAATTTTTTTTCATGTAACTGGACAATATGCACAATATGAAGAAAAGTCTTTAATGGATGGGTGGAGTGGGAAAGTGCAAGCAATTCCCTTTGTTTTCTTTTGCTGCATGTGAGGATGAGGAACCTTTTTTTAAAAAAAATTATTCTAGGGCCTGGGAGGGTAGCAGTGACTATTTGATGTTCTTTGCTTCTTGTCTGAGGTCAACAGCTGTGAAGGCAACCATATATTAGCTTGAAGCTCTTACAGTACTAGGGGTTTGTTCAGTGAACATTTAAACTGTGCATGGATAGCAGGACCTTGGAAGGCAGAGGGATAGAGAGCACCATTAAGCTTGGTGATAAAGGTGGACTCATCCATCAACCGATATTGATTCAATGTGAGATATTTAGCCAAGTTATTAAAATTATTCTTCAAATGTTCTTCAAAATTTAAAGAAATGCACAGTTACTTTTTAATAATGAGGAGCCATATTACGTTCTGCATTTGGCCATTCCTATTCAACACCAGGGAAAGGAAATTGCTTTCACACACCACCTCTCTCTCCCCTCCTCCAGAATTATTGGTGAAGTTCTAATGAGAGAATTGCAGAGTTCTCATACCTATCTTAGTTAAATACTGGCTGAAGTGGCTACTGTGTATGTGTCAATGTGTGTATGTGTGATGAGCCTATTCAAACCCTTTAACTGTCTGCAACCTCCCTGGCTTCCTGTTAGACTCTCATGGTGTAGTGGTTAAGGCATCAGGCTAGAAACAAGGAGACGATGAGTTCTAGTTCCACTTTAGGGGACCTTGGCTGGGTGACCTTGGGCCAGTCACTCTCTCTTAGCCCCAGGAAGGAGGCAATGGCAAACCACTCTCGAAAGCTTGCCAAGAAAATTGCAGAGACTTGTCCAGGCAGTTGCCAGGAGTCAACATGGACTCAAAGCTCCCCCCCCACACGCACACACTTATCCAGGTAGATGCTTTATTGGCAACAGATCTGAGAGAAAAGGGTAGGACTTTTAGGCTCCCATCTCTTACACCTTGACTTCTTGGATTAGGCTGCAACTTGAAATGAATAGAGGACAGCCACTGATTTGCCTTCCTTTTTCTACTATTAGACTCTCATGGAAGACATCATGAGAAAACTCCTCTTGTAGGGCTTTTCCAGATCAGGAAGCCAGGGAGGCTGCCGAGTGAGAGATACTGTATGTAGCCAAAAGCCACAGTAACAATGACATCAACATTATCTGACACTTTGTCACAATAAAATAAGCTTTTAAAAAGTCACCTAAACAAATTCTAAGGCACCTTGTGAATAAGGCAAAAAGACAGTAACCTCTTTTCCATCTTAGCTGAAAATTGGAATATAAATGCTCACACAGCATTTATGTTTAATGTGCATGAATGGCTTGCCAATCTCATATCATATATTCACATTTCAGAAAAGCGTCTGGGAGCATGATCACTTTTGGCGGAATAGATCATTCTCATTATACTGGTTCAATTCACTGGATTCCTGTTAGTGAACAAGCATACTGGCAGATTTCAATGGACAGGTAAGCAGGAATTGTTACAGGTACTGTTATTTGTAGATAATTTATTGATATTGTTGAGAAAAGTTGACTGAGTTCTTCAATACAGTACTATTGGACATTATACTGGAAAGTTTTACCAAACACTTTTATGGGTCATGACCTGAAGCGATGAGAAGTGAAGAGAAAGGAAGAGGTGTAGGGAAATACCACACTGAGCCACTGTATTTTAGTTTACTTTAGATAAGTCAAGGTGGCATCTGCTAAGAAGGAAAATGTTGTTGATTGCACATGGCACTTTACATATTGGAAGAACAGAGCTTCCTGCCCTAATGAGCTTCCCAGCTACATGTATTTTAACTGCTTTCTGCAATTTCAAACACATATCCTGGTTTAACCCTGCCTAATAATACAGTACAGAACCATATCAGTCACCCTCAGGATAGCTTCCTCAGGAACATGGTTATTATATCTTAATAAGTGGCAGCCTTTTTTATTTCTAGCATCACCATCTCATGATTTCTATTTCTTAGTGTTTTAGTGAACGGCCAGAAGATTGCCTGCCAGGATGGTTGTCAAGCAATTGTTGATACAGGTACCTCCCTCTTGACTGGTCCGCCAACTGCCATAAATAACATCCAAAACGCCATTGGAGCTACTCAGGGGCAGTATGGTCAGGTAAGATTAAACCCCTTATTCTCTGCCATTGTATTTGCCATTCGCTGCATTTGAAAGAAGCTCCTACTCATCCTGATCACACTGATGTCCATGCAATACCAGGCTGCTAGGGGCTAGGTTTAGAAATATGTGGATTGGTAGATATCTGATTTGTATTACTGTTTAGTTTGTAATCTGGATTTCCACTTCAGCAAATTTCTGCCTGGATATTTCCTTAAAAATCCAAATGTAAATTTGATGGTCCTGTTGGGGTAGAGCTGTGTTGTATGACTATGAGACGGCCATGGATTGTGGCTCTAAAAATAAACAAACAGCAAAGAATATTAAAGCTCCCTAGAGATTGCTTATTTTTTGAAACAGTTCCTGGATTTATCATGTAATCATGTAACCTCACTTCCAAATAATGTTATTCACAGCAAGAAATCACTTTTCTTTCCCCAGACAACCTTTTTTAATCCAGGCCATTATGTCTTGGTTCACAATTTCAGCAGTTGACAGCATTTCCTTAAGAATAGGGAATCTAGATTCTAATGAGAATGGAATTGTGATGGAATGGTGTTATGAAGGGCACGCTCAGGGAGATAAGTGTTTCCTTAGCCCCCAGCAGGAGCGTGGGAAGTTTAAGAAGTTGAGACTGGCACCACCCTAAGGAATTCACGGTGCTGTGGCTTGCTGGCTTGGGAACGAAACTTCAGTCTGAAGAGATTTCTGTCTTGAGGTGGAAGCTAATAAACACAACAGAACTGTATTGCACTGTCTCGTGGAGTTCTTTGGGCTGTACCTGACAGGAATGTATGAATTGGTTATTAGTTGGTGAATTGATGGGTGATGATGCAGTAGCAAAATTCTGGTTTCATTATTATTTTCAGTCTGTTCTAGACATATCCCCAAGTACCGCTTAGTTTTGAGCATTATAGGGGATACAGGACCACTGCTATTGTTGGGCAAGTGTGGCAGCTGCATCAGGCACCTAATTTAGAAGTCATAAAATATCAGTTAGTTAATTATTTTACAACTGTAATTTTACTTCCAAGAAGAGGGAGAGGCACTTGAAGGAATTTCTTCCTCTTTGGTTAACTGCCAAAATAACGGGCACTATCTTGATTTGCAAGGTAGAGTTCACCTTAAGCATAAACTTTTTCAAGTGGCCCAGGAAAGTTATTTGAATTAAAAAAATAATTAGATAATGAGTTACTACTTAAGATTGCAATTTTACCTTCTTGAGATTTCATACGTGGAGCAAAAGTGCTGCATTTTGTGATTTTTTAATTTATTATCTGTTCTGATCAGAATAATTCAAGAACACTCTTCCTTATTTCCTGTAGTATACAATCAACTGCAACAATCTCTCCAATATGCCTGATGTTGTTTTTGTGATCCACGGAGTCCACTATCCACTGAAGCCATCAGCCTATACTCTGCAGGTATGTAATAGATATGGATTTGTACTCCGTGCATGGTTACAGGTTCAACTGGTTCTATGCAGATGAGAAGTGCATAACTTTTTCCAAAGACAAGGGCTGAAAATGGAAAGATGGAAGCAATCTTTTGGAAGAAATATTTTTAGTAATGCAGATCGGGTCATAATGGTTGGAGATGCTCTTTTGAAGAGCATCTCAAATTCAAGGATGGAGATGCTGTTTGGAGAAGCAACCATACCTGCACTCACATAGTATTACATCAGCACAGACTTGATTCTTGGATAAGGTTTTTGATTTTTAGTAATTTTCTCCTGTCAGATACATGCTTATCACCATCAAGACTTTTTGACCCAAAGGTTGACATATGATGTCAGGTGTTCCAAATGTTTGTTTAGCTGTTGCAGGAAAGGCAAAATGTGGAAGAAAATAATTACTGTTTTCCCTTCAGTTCCTCTTTGCGAGAAAATTGCAAAATCTCACTTTCTGCATTTTCTTTTTAAGACCACACTGTATTTTTGCAATAGCAATGAAAAAAAATGCCCACTCACTGTTCTAATTTTTACCACTTGAAGTCAGAGGATTATGCTAAAGAAAAGGGAAGGATGTATAATCTAGATACGTCATGATATATTTTATGTGGACAAAAATGAGACATAAAGCTATAGTCTGGGAAATGTTATTATTCCCTTATTCCAGATACTGCTGTGCCCAGCTATGCTAGACCAGCATTGTTATGTTCCCACAGCAAAATGAAAAGCACAAGAATAGCAGTAAAACAAAGGCCCAAATGTAACACTCTTGGAAGACCCTTCCTAGCATCCTGACCTCTCTGTAATAGACCCACCAAATATTGATGCTTGCTGATAATATACTAGGACATCTTATCCAATTCAACTTTCCAAATGTGTTGAGATTGTAATTCCAAGAATACTAAAATAGTATGGGCCCTAATTTTAACTATGCTGTCTGGGAATTCTAGGCATTGTCCCAACACATCTGAGTAACATAGGTTGAGGGCCCTGCCTATATTATCTATGCACAGAGGATACTGATCAGTGCATACTTTCTATGCAACCAGTGCACCAAAATGATAACATAGAACCATCCATCACCCTGTGCAACAATAGGCTTCCAAGGAGTCTTCTCCATTATAGCATCTCATGGATGAAGGGATATGTGGAACAGACAACCTACCTCCAAGCTTGAATCTCTTTAGAGTATTTATATATGTGCTTAGTGAATTAGTCCATTTTTCTGTTCACACAACACTTAAACTATAAACAAATGGAACACACTGGTTTGTGCAACATGCTAAGCTGCAAAGAATCAAATCAAAGTTACACTAACCAAGCTTATCCATTTGTTTGGATGCATCTGTAAAATTTTTAACTGACCTTTCAGCAGTGTTGCTCTCCTCAAAATGTATACTCTTGATGTTTCTTATGTTATTAATGACCTCCTGGATTAAAAGTAATATCAAAACAACAGTATTACAATGTCCACATAAATTCACTGGCAATTTTTTTCCTGTACTAGCAGAAAGAGTTTTAATACTATCCTGTCCCACTGTATATCCACTGGCATGGTTCAAAGATAGGATAATATTGCAGTTCAATGGTTTTCTCAATGGAGAAGTACACAAAACATTTGGCAAGTCTGGAATCTCCATGCAGCTTTTAAAGAGCTCTTTTACTTGAACAGTTGGATTTTTATTCCTTTGGATATCATTTTGTTAATTGTCTACATACCATACACCAGTGTTTACTTTATTATTTTATTTAGTTCATTCTTTCCTTTATATTTTTTCTAGGGAACACTTGCTTATCTTCTTGTGTTTGAATGTTGTCTGGTAAAATTGACTAAAATTAGTTCACTGAGCAATCCATGAACAGACTCAATCTTACGGCTGTTTCTTTATTTTTATTTTTTAATTTCTGTTTTCTTCCTTCCCTCTAGCTGGGATCAGGCTATTGCAGCAGCGGATTCCAACCAATGGGTGGGAATCTCTGGATCCTAGGAGATGTGTTCATAAGAGAATACTATAGCATTTTTGACAGAGGCAACAATCGAGTTGGGCTGGCAAAGGCAATCTAGAAAAATGCTACTCTTTACAACAGTGAATACTGTATCTGTTTAATCAACACATCCAGTTGTGCTTTAACTTCACAGCAATGTACTGAGCTATCTCTAGTTGTGTCCTTTTAAGCATAATAGCTGATATATTTCAAGATACCTTGCAAATGATAGCATTATTTGGGTATGTCTGACCACCACTGCATGCAAAAAATAAATAATATCTTGTTCCAAAGTTGTGTTGTTTGCATATATTCATGTCAGCTTGCATGAATTGTAATAGAAATATAGTAGATTCCTAGACTGGCAGAAGACAGTCTCCAGATAGAGATTATATCTTCATATTGGTCATAACTACCTCCCTACTGACTCTTTGAAAGGATTATATATGTTCCTTGTTAGATAGAAGAGACTGGTCTTTGAAATAAAAAATTTCCTTACTAAGTTCCCATACGCTGCTATGGCATTGCCAGATATTTAAAATATGTGGGACTCAGAATCATGAGGCACAGACCAGTAGAAAAGGTGCATATGCTTATTTATATCTATAAATGTTGAAATCAAACCTTTATTATGGCCTATGGGCCAGAAAGCACAACAATATAAATACATAGACCTGTAATCATTAATAAAACTTTAAAAAATGCAATAAAATGACATAAAATACATTATTATAGTAGCTGTAGTACAAATAGCAGTGGCAATCACCAAAACCTGAGCTAAACTTCAACCATAGGTAAGATGGATACAACAAATGATTGCACAGAATTGGGCAACCTGGCCAGATAAAAGCAGTGACACTGTGCTCTCTACCAGGATGGTTCTTTAAAATAGGATAAATATATCTATATATTTATAAATGCACATTTAAGGTTCTTCCTCACATCTGCAGAAATGTGTTTTCCTTCCACCCTTGAGTTGGGAGGAAAGTACGTTGGCCTAAAAAGTACTGCCCCCCACAGTCTACTTTACAGCACCTTAACAGCCGAGCTAGTGTCGCTGCTCACACATATTGTAACTTGTAACTTCAGGGCAGCAGCTGGCAGAATCTCTGATGTCCATCCCTGTCTCATCAGGGCCATTTATGGATAGGAAAATGAATTGCCAATCACTCTCCTGAAAGTGTGGCAAGCCAGAGTCGGGGAACTTCGAACATGGTCTGACCTTCCTCTGCAGTTAGCTAGAATATTAGCCGGGGTTGGTTTGTTTTTGGTAGTTCACAGCCAACCTTTAGTTCTTGCCTGTTTGTTTGTCATGGAAATAGCTGTTCCTCAGTCTCCTGAATGATTGAAAGGCTGATATTCCCATAGCAAAGTAGCCTGTATTTTTCAAAGCTGCTGCATTGGAAAATACGGGCTAAGCCACCCCATGGCTTCATTGCTTCTTCTTTGCTTTCATGTTGAATTGCCTGACTCAGCAGCCCCTTGATCTGGCTTCACTGCCACTCCTTTAGCCATCACCCAATTACTCCTTCAGCACAGTGGTCACCTGCTGGCCTCCTATCTATAATCTGGCACCAATCCACCTGGCCTCCTTGAACCATCCGGCTACTGTGCCTTATGGGACCAGCCCCTAAAGCAACTTAGCCAGGGCCCTGCTCTACCATTGAATCTCTGCTCCAGCTGGCCTTGGTGCTTTGCTAAAGGAGCTTCTTGGGAAGCCCTTTTTCAATGAGCATAACATTTTGTGTGGTGTTGGATATTCAGCACCCTAAATTGCAGTCCTTCAATCCTGAGCCAGAAGCTGAAAATAGGATAATTGGCATCTGATTAGTCTCATGGAGAGAA